GTTGAAAGAACAGGATCAGAAGATAGAAGTAAACTATTAAAAATATCTTCATTCTGTGATTGCCTGGAGCATTTTCTTGAGCTGAATAGTTGAACATGCTTAAAATCTCGATTCCTCTCTTCCTGGGCTTCTTCTGTTAACTCTCCAAGTGGAAGAATATTCGATTCAATTATTATTTGACCATGACACAATACTTTGTGTACTGTTGGTGTTAGTTCCCTCCATGGATACAGAGATACAAGTAATTTAGAAATTTCAGATGTATATTCCCCAAATCGATTTCCATTAATTTTATATTTACTATTCAGTGCCATTAAAATAGTGTTAACTCTTCGAAGCAACTCCTTGTCGATTCCAGTTATTTTTGAAGTAATTTCAAAATCACGAAAAAACCTTCTCGCCGTATTACCGTCATTTGTACTACCGCAACTTGAAAGTGGTTTGTCGATGTTTAATCCCATCTGAACTTTAAATTCTTCTTGGATTCTGCTCTTTTCCGCAGCTCTCAGTTCTTTCAATTCTTCGTTATTTTTTGTTGATTTAGTAAGATTCTCTGGCACACTTCTAGGTAACCATGCGGGGTAGGGGCATGATGAAACTTCCACCGAATATAATGCATTTCATTGATGCAAAGAAGAGACTGAGACGGACGCTAAGGACTTGTGGGGAACCTGGTAGATGTAATATCCTGCGAGCTGAGATACGGAACATGGACAAGATTATACAGGGCTCAATTGCGGTTTTTGAAAGGGAATATTGGACGGATTACTTTGGACGAATTCGACTCAATAATAGGACGTATAGGAACGTTAAGACTGCGGCGGGTATGAATGCTCGGACTAATGTTGGGAGTTTGGTGGATGCACAGGGGAATATTATTTCTGATGACCCTGGGAAGGCAAATCTGCTTGCAGATTGCTTTTTTCGGGTGAATCACCCTGCTCAGGTGGGGCGCTTTGGCCAATTTGGTTTAACTGTTGAGAATGCTGTTTCCACTTTGGATAGGACAACACCTTTGACCACATTTACTGAGGTTTTTACTGCTGACGGTAGGAATGTTGACTCAACTTTGACATTTGACGGAATGAGATTTATAGACGCTGCATCTGTTGGTAATGCACTTAAGAGGAGGTCCAACAAGAAGTCGAGCGGTGTGGACGGCATACCGGATTATGTACTTAGGAAGACGGACGTTGTCGCGTGGAGATTCCTTGCAGTATTATTCAATCACTGCATAAACATAGGGTATTTTCCGAATGCTTGGAGAGAGGCCTTGGTGGTTCCGATTCCGAAGCCAGGATCTGATCTTGGTCAGGGAGGGAACTACAGACCAATTTCTCTTCTTCCGGCATTTGGGAAGTTACTTGAATTTTTTATTCTTGACAGAATAAATGACAAGTTATTGGACGGTGACGTGATCAAGGACTGTCAATTTGGCTTCAGAAGTGGCCACTCCACTTCCCATGCCTTGATGGTATTCGCGGACTATGTGTCTAGAGGATTGAATAATCGATGTCCAACGATGGCGGTTAGTTTAGACTTTGCCAAGGCCTTTGATACGGTCTGGCAAGATGGCATAGTTTATAAGATGATGGGCATGGGATTTGGTGCTGGTGTTTGTAGAATGATTGACAGCTTCCTGAGGGACCGTTTGTATAGGGTCAGAGTAGGGGAGGCATTATCGGAGAGGGGTTCCATTACTGCGGGAGTGCCGCAGGGGTCGTTACTAGGCCCTGTGCTTTACAATATATTTATGTCCGATATACCTCAACCACCTGAGGGACATTTATTACTGATTTATGCTGACGACATTCTGGTTGCCTCTTCGGGAGCCAGAGCACGTACTGTAAACAAAAGACTGAATGACTATTTAGGAGTACTTTCGGACTACTTTGTGAAATGGGGATTGAATTTGAACATTAGTAAGACTGTGACTGTGATGTTCAATGGACGACGTAAATATATCTATCCGAACTGTAGGTCATATGTGCCATCTTTGACCATAGGCAGCCAGCTGATCGGTGCCTCTGATAGGATGAAGTATCTGGGCGTCATTTTCCACGAGAATTTTGAATACTATCGTTATATTGACAACACTCTGGAAAAGGCTAAGAGAATGTTCTTTGCCTATCAGAGGATACTGAAGCGTAAAGGTGGCCTTGACAAGAGATTACGGCTCTTGATTTATAGGCAGATAATTCGTCCACTCATCTCTTACGCTTTTCCAGCTTGGTTTGGAATTTCATCAAGCCAGATGGAGAGGCTCCGGAGATGGGAGCGAAGTGTGCTGGTCGCATGTCTGGGTATGAGGCCCCGTTTGGGACCTGATGGTGTCCTCCACAGACCGTCCTGCGTGTCTGTATATAGGGCTATAGATTTTGATAGGGTTGATGTCTTCATGGTGGAAATGGCAATCAGATTTTTAGAGCGAGCCCGTTCCTTGGATAACGGTCTAGTCAGGGAATGTTTTAATAGGGCTAATGATCTGGAGACTGTTCAGATGTCTAGATATTTGTCACCTGTCGATTTGTTGACCCTTAGGGGAGCTGGCCTCCTCTATGAGAGTGCAGACCTCCTATTTTACCATAGGAGAATCCACACTATGAATATACGTGATACGGTATATAATACCGCACAATGAAATTGTATTTTGTTTTGTAAATATTTCTTTTCTCTTGTAAATATCTTTCTATTACCTTTTGTAAATATATTTATTTAGATTTATAAGTTTTGTTATTATTTGTTATTATTTTTTTAATTCCATTTTTTGGGGAATTGATCGTAAATGAAAAGAATGTTTTGAATAAGTGACATAGCATAGCTATATTTTTTGATAATATTGGAAAGTCCATTATTGATACTATAGTATGTAGGAAAAATGAATTAATTGTTTTAGTTTTGTAAGATAACCTAAATGTAATTAACTGAATTTTTATGGGAAATAAAACTGAAACTGAAACTGTTGAATTTTAAAATTAGTGAACAGTGTTAAAAGTGTTTGTGAAGTGTAAACTACTAAAAATTAAAATTGTGAAAAATGCCTCCTAAAGCAAGTGGAAAAGCAACCAAGAAGGCTGGCAAAGCCCAAAAGAATATTAGTAAAAGTGACAAGAGCAGAAAACGCAAGCGTAAGGAAAGTTATGCTATCTACATTTACAAAGTATTGAAGCAAGTACATCCTGATACTGGTATTTCATCAAAGGCCATGAGTATCATGAACAGTTTTGTTAATGATATTTTTGAACGTATTGCCGCTGAAGCATCTCGTTTGGCTCAATACAATAAACGTTCGACCATCACCAGTCGGGAAATTCAAACTGCCGTTCGTCTATTGTTGCCCGGTGAATTGGCTAAGCATGCCGTCAGTGAGGGTACCAAGGCTGTCACCAAATATACCAGTTCCAAGTAAATTTAATTTACTTAAATTGCCGTTTAATTCTTTTTCCTATTACAAAAGGCCCTTTTCAGGGCCACAAAATACATTTAAAAAGAGTTATTTATTGTTTAAAACATATATATTTTTTCATTACATAATAAAAATTGTGATTATTGTAAAAATTTTCATATGTTCCAAGTAAATTTACTTTTATCTCCGTTTGATTCTTTTTTTATTATTACAAAAGGCCATTTTCAAGGCCACAAAATACATTTAAAAAGACTCATTTATTGTTTAAAACATATAATTTTTCATTACATAATTAAAAATAATGTGATTATTGACAAATTTTTCATTATTTTTTTTAATAAAACGAACGAAACAGTATTTTATTTCAAATTTGCTTTCAAATTTTATAACTGACAAAAATTGATTTTATTTATTAAATTCACAAACCAAACTGTGTTGGTTTGTGAATTTGACAATTTTAATAAAAATGGTATGAATTTTTACTATTTTAGAGCAAGGGTGTTATCGATACTTAATTTTTAAATTTGGTGAAGTTGTTACAACTTTTGAAATTTAAACAGTTTTTTTTTTTTTTTGAAAATATTTAAAATTTTATATTTATTTCATTTAATTCTTATTGTATTAGGTAAATTATTTCATTTGAATATGTAAAAATGTTTTTGTTTTGATTTTTGTTACTTACCAATAGTTTAAGAAGAAATTTTCTTTTACTTTTAATATTTGTACAAAATCCAACTCATTAAATAGTTTTTTTTTTACGATTCCATTACCTACTGTTTACTTAGTCTACTGAGTTTTATTTTATTAGTTTGTGTTTTACCGACGGCTTATGTGAAATTTTCATTGTAATTACAATTAAAATACACTAAAAAATGTGATTATTGTCAAATTTGTCATTATTTTTATTTAATAAAACGAACGAAAAAATATTTAACTTCAAACTGCTTTCAAATTTTATAACTGACAAAATTTGATCTTATTTATCAAATTCACAAACCAATCGATGTTGGTTTGTGAATTTGACAATTTAAATAAAAATGGTATGTGTTTTTTCTATTTTAGACCAAGAGTGTTATCTACACTAATTTTTTGAAATAAGTTAAGTTATTCGTTAATTATGAAATTTTAACAGTTTTTATTTTTGAAAATATAAAAAAATTAACGATTTATTCATCTTATTCGTATTGTTTATTCAAACAAAATAATTTTTGGGAATTATTTTGTCAATTATTTCATTTGAATATGAAAAAATGTTCTTTATTGTTTTTATTTTTCTAATTTTCCAATAGTTTAAAATAAATTTTCATTTTTACTTTACTCTTAAAATAACCCAACTCATTAAATATTATTTTATGATTCCATTACCTATTGTTTACTTAGTCAATTGAGATTAAATGAGTTTTAGTTTATTAGTTTGTGTTTTACCGACGGCTTATGTGAAATTTTCATTGTAAATAAACATTTTTTCCTACCTATATGTGTATTTTTGTCCCTTTTCATAGCGATTATTCTTACTATTTTTATTTTATTTTGTGAAATATTTTAATAATATACAAGTTTTGAATTTGTAATTTAATCTCTTTTGTTGAAAAAATTTGTAGCCCTGAAAAGGGCTGTTTTAGATAATAGTACTTTTTGCAATATTAAAAATAAATTAGATTTACTTTTTGACTGCGGCCTTTTTGGCAGCTGGTTTCTTTGCTGGCGATGTTGCTTTTTTGGGTTTGGCTGCAGCTGCGGTTTTTGCTTTGGGCGCTTTTGTTTTAGTTGCTGGTGCCTTTTTGGCGGGTTTTGCTTTAACTGTACCTGTCTTTTTAGCAGTTTTTGCCTTGGATTTTTCTGTATTTTTCTTTTCAGCAGTCTTTTTGGCTGCAGATGGTTTCTTTGCAGGCGCAGCAGCGAGTTTCTTTTTAGTAGCGACTGCTGTTTTCTTCTTTTTTTCACTAGCAGCAGCTACCTTTTTCTTTTCAGCGGCGGGTTTCTTCTTTTCTTTTGGCTCTTTGGAGGCAGCTGCTGACAATTTGAATGAACCAGCAGCACCCTTACCTTTTGGTTGAATTAATTTTCCACTATCAACGGCACTTTTCAAATATTTCTTTATGAAAGGCGATAATTTTTGAGCATCTACCTTATAAGTACTGGCAATATATTTTTTAATAGCAGAAAGAGATGAACCACCACGTTCCTTTAAAGTTTTAATAGCAGCATCAACCATTTGTTGAGTTGGAGGATGAGATGGCACAGTAGATGGTTTCTTTGCCTTGGGAGTAGTAGTTTTTTTAGCCTTTTTCTCAGCAGCTGGAGCGGCAGCAACAGGAGAGGCAGTATTTTCAACAACAGCGGTATCCGACATTTTGTATTTGTTTATTTCAAGATTTCAAGATTTCATTTATTTACCCATTAAAATTCATTACATAACATTTAGGTTCTCTTACAAAACTAAAACAATTAATACATTCTTCCTACATACTACGGTATTAATAATGGACTTTCCAATATTCTCATAAAATATAGCTATGCTATGACGCTTACTAAAACATTCTGTTCACTCTCGATACATTCCCCAAAAAAGGGATTAAAAAAGGGATACATTCAAAGCTTACTTACTAAAACTTACATCTAATAACAAAGAACTTACAAACTAGAATAAAAATATTCACAAAAGGATAGACAGATAAAAGATATTTACAAAAGACAAGAAATAGATAAAAATTATATACAAAAGGAAAGACAATCTCATTGTGCGGTATTATATACCGTATCACGAATATCCAGAGTGTGGACTCTCCTATGATAAAATAAGAGGTCTGCACTCTCATAGAGGAGGCCAGCTCCCCTAAGGGTCAACAAATCCACCGGCGATAGATATCTAAACATCCGAATGGCCTCCAAATCATTCGCCCTATCAAAACATGCCCTTACCAGACTATTCTCCAAAAAGCGGGAACCCTCCAAAAATTTAACTGCCAATTCAACCATAAAGATATCAATCCTGTTGAAATCTATGGCCCTGTACACCGACAAGCAGGATGGCCTGCGGAACACCCCATCCGGTCCCAATCGGCGCGTCAAACCCAGACAAGCGACCAGCACACCTCGCTCCCATCTCCTAAGCCTCTCCATCTGAGATGAGGAAATTCCAAACCAAGCCGGAAAAGCATAGGAGATGAGTGGGCGAATTACCTGCTTATACACCAAGAGTCTCAACCTTCTGTCAAGACCACCCTTGCGCTTCAGTATACCCTGATAGGTAGAGAACATTCTCTTCGCCTTCACCAGAATATTGTCAATATGACGATAATATTCGAAATTCTCGTGAAAGATGACCCCGAGATACTTCAACCTATCAGAGACACTGATAAGCTGACCGCCTATGGTCAACGATGGTATATATGACCTACAGTTAGGAAAAATATACTTGCGTCTACCCTTTATCATCATACACACAGTCTTACCCATATTCAAGTTCAGTCCCCATATCGAAAAATAGTCCGAAAGTAATCCTAAATAGTCATTCAGTCTTCCATTCACCGTCCGTGCACTAGCCCCCGAAGAGGCAACAAGAATATCGTCAGCATAAATCAAAAGTAAGTGACCCTCAGGTGGTTGAGGTATATCAGACATAAATATATTATACAACACTGGGCCAAGCAAAGACCCCTGCGGCACACCCGCAGTAATAGATCCTTCGTCCGATAAGACCTCCCCCACCCTAACTCTATACGTACGGTTCTTCAGAAAGCTGGCAACCATTCGGCAAAGACCAGCCCCAAATCTCATACCCATCATCTTGTACAATATGCCATCCTGCCAGACGGTATCAAAAGCCCTGGCAAAGTCCAAGCTAACTGCCATCGTCGGACATCTCCTATTGAGACCTCTCGCCACATAATCAGCAAATACCATCAAGGCATGAGAAGTGGAGTGGCCACTTCCAAAGCCGAATTGAAAGTCCTGAATCACGTTCCCGTCAGTTATCCTGTCGTATATCCTGTCCAGAATGAAATATTCCAGCAACTTCCCAAAAGCCGGCAGCAGAGAGATTGGCCTGTAGCTCCCTCCCTGACCAAGATCAGATCCTGGTTTCGGTATTGGAACCACTAAGGCTTCTCTCCATGCCCTCGGGAAGTACCCAATATTCATGCAGTGGTTGTACAAAACCGCAAGGAATTTCCATGTCACAACGTCCGTCTTCTTCAGTACAAAGTCCGGTATACCATCCACACCACTCGACTTCTTACTCGACCTCCTCTTAAGTGCACTCCCAATAGAGGCAGAGTCGATAAATGTCAGTCCCTCAAACGTCCTAGTAGCGTCAACATTCCTCCCGTCAGCAGTAAAATTGTCACAAAATGTAGTCAAAGGTGTCACTCTGTCCAATGAGGAAACCATGCCCTCGACCGTTGAACCAATCGGCCCAAAACGTCCCACTTGTCCAGTCTGATTCACTCGGAAAAAGCAATCCGCTAGCAGATTTGCTTTCCCGAGATCATCCGAGATGGTTCCTCCCTGAGCATCCACCAAACTCCTAACACTAGGTCGAGCATTCACACCTGCCGCAGTCTTAATGTTCCTGTAGGTCCTGTTATTATGGCGAATCCGGCCTAAGAAATCCGTCCAATAATCCCTCTCAAAGACAGCTATTGAACCCTGTATTATCCTGTCCAAGTTCCGTATCTCCGCCCGCAGGATATTACATCTACCCGGATCGCCACATGTCCTCAGTGTCCGTCTGAGTCTCTTCTTGCTGTCAATAAAGTGCAAAATATTCGGCGGAAGTTTCATCATGCCCCTACTCCGCATGGAAACTTTAGGAACCGATTGGTCCATGGCATCCACAAATGCCCTATTCATCGCCCCGATGCACTCATCGATCTCGCCCTCAGAAACATTACGGTCAACGGGCAACCTACAGTCAATAAGATTGACGGCAAGTGTAGTCCTAAATTTCCGTACGTCCATTCGGTCATAGTCGAATCTCGAAGATTGTTCCCGCGACACACAGTCACCTACAAAGATATTCATCTCCACAGCCTTATGGTCAGATTCGTAATCCAATGTATTAAGTCCGCCGTTATTTACCGTCATAACGTCAACAGAAGTCACAAAAAAGTCAATGTATGATGATAATACGTCGTTCACGTGAGTTGGTCCATTAGTCCTATGTATGTCCATATCAGGACATGTAAGTAAAAAGTCGCGAAGGGCACGACCGCTCGCATTCGTATGAGGATCCCCCCAATAGGGATGTCTTGCATTGAGATCTGTACCAATCACAACACTGCCATCCCTTGCCAAGTCCAGTATGGAGTCAAAGTCCCCAGCACTCAGAGTAATACCCGGTCGAAGATACATTGAGATCACAGTGATGTAATCACCGTTCACTTTCCGTATCCTCACGGCGGTATTCTCCACAGAACCTGTATCGAGAACGACCTCCCCAGATTGAAAGGTATCCCTCACGAGAACAGCCGTACCACGACCATGTCCAATTTGTCTGTCCTGTCTGTATATATCATACCCCCTTAGGGAAAATCTATGGTGAGCACTTAAAAGGTGCTCAGCCAACAATACAACGTCCGGTTTATGCTCCCTCAAGAACAAATTCAAATAATGTCTTCGATGTCTAGAGACAATCGAATTAACATTAATGAAAATGATCTTCATTGTCCTAGTCATTCTGTCCTAAGGTCATCAACATACCCAACAAAGCACGTGACTTGTCCCCGTCACAGTTCAATGTTTGGTATTCCTTCGCAAAACGTCCAATCTTCCCTAAACATTGTAGAAAACCACCCCCAAAAATTCGAGAGCAGTCCCTATCAATTAGGTCATACTGAGCCATAGCGCTCTCCATAGAAAGCCCGGCCCCAACAGAATTCGCAGACTTAGAAGGCTGCGATGCACTCACAGGTCGCTCACCCACCGAAGCGGACTTTGCCGCCGCCGCATACGAGACACCCTTGGACACCATATTCCTAACAGTAGGCATACTAGACGGACGTGGAACAGCACCAGTAGCCCTCTTCTCACGCAATTTGCGGAGAAGTTCCACCCTGCGCGGACAGTCGTTCGAACTAGCCACATGCCCCTCAATCCCACAGTTGACACACTTCACAGGCAAACCAACAGCCCGATTGATTTGACCAGTGACAGGATCAGTGGTCAATGTTTCCCTATTATTCTCCCCCTTACGAGGGACGGAACATTTACCCGGGCCATGAGACCCAGCACATTTCACACACCTATAAGGCATGTGGCAGTTCGATGAAACATGGCCATAACGCTGGCAGTTAAAAAATTGGGTGACACCCCTCCTCTCAAATTTCCTAATATATACTCTGCAACGCAGAATATACCGAATCTCATAAAATTGCCTAACGTCAGAATCCCTAGACATCTTCAGCACCCATTTGTCATTACCAAGCCTGGTAACGCTGACAACCTTGACATTAATCTGGAGACCACCCAGATAATCAATAATATCACTCGGTTCGAATGAGCATGGAAGACCCTCAATCACCACCGAGAAAGGACGAAGACCCTTAGGGGTATAGGTATAAAAATCTACCTTATCCTCCTCAAGCAAGCCCTTAACCTTGTCGTAATCACCAAGAGTGCAAACCCCTATATTCGCCACACTCTTCCCTAAAACCTTCATATTGTAATTCTTATGACCTAACTTAGTGTCTATAGAACCAATCATCTCCTTCACATTAACCCCATATGTAGTCAAAACAGGTATGGACTTACTCTCATTCTTATCCTTGGTTGTCTTCACAGGCAATTTTTTGGCAGAGACATCCTTCACTTTGGGTATAGCACCTGTCGATGTTTTCCCCTTTGCAGCTTTAACTGGCATTGCCGCTCCAATAACACCAGCAGCATTCTCCTCACTAGGCCTCACATTCTGAGCTTCCGTCCCAGATTCGGCATCCATCTCACCTTCCGAAGATTCTAGGCTTTCAGCACCATTCACGTTCTCATGATACAGTTTGATGAGGTTATCCAATTTCAACCTCAAGTCATCGTTCTCCTTCACCAAATAATCGATCTTAAACTTCGATTCACTCTCCAATTTACTGATCGACTCAACAAGTTCCTCATTCCTCTTCAAGGATTCTTTGAGCCTCTCCTTCAACACCTCACCACCACCGGTCTTCTTCCTCTTTTTGGAAGTACTAACATCATCCGTGTCACTCATTACGGATGATTCAACAACCACAGTCTCATGCCCAATACGGGTCTTTAAATTCACACTGCCTACTATATCAGACAGCCTTCTCAATATTCAGAGTACGGTACAGAAAATCAAGCTGCCTACTATTTAGGTCAGCCTTCTCACACTTTCAAAGCACTGTTCAAAAAAGACAAGGACTACTATCACAGCCAGCCTTCTCACTATTCCGAGGACTATCCTCTAATCAACGCTGACTACTACAAAGGTCAGCCTTCTCACTTTCACGAGCACTGTTCTCATTAAACACTTATCAATGGCCTATCAGCCATTCAAATAAACACTTTCAATTTTACTTGTCCGTTTCAAGATTTACTGTTCACACACTTATAAAAAAAAAACTTCCGCTTAGGCACTGTTCACTTTGAGTGTTGACACTCAACTCGTATTTGTTTATTTTATTTTTTCACTTTTTTTAAACACACTTGTATATGGTAGTATAACTTTTCGATTGTGTGCACACACGAAATTTTAAGGTACTTTGTTATAATGAGAAGTTAATAGTAGTCGATAGCTATAATTTGTTAAATTTTTAGTGAGAGCATGAGTAAAATTCAACAAAAGTTTTCTACTTTTTTCTTATTTTTCTTTAATTTTTAATAAAAATTTTATAAATTTATTGCTATTCTTGATAGTATGGGTTTTCTAGATTGCATTTTATTAAAAATTATTTATATTGTTTTTGTCAAACAATATTTATCATCATTTTTGTGATAAGTTTTTGATACATTTACCATAAAATGTAAATAAAATGTCAATAAATTGTTACATTTTTAGGAAATTTTATAACCAAGTTGATTTTATAAGAATATTACAAATGTTTTTTAAATGATTGATTAAAAAAATTCTCATAATTTTAATTTTTAGATTTTTGAAAATTATTTTTAAATTTGCTGTATTACTTGGTGATTTTTCTTGTTTTGCCACTGTGAATTTGCATTGTTTACATTTTTTCATAAATTTAATCAAATATCAAAAATAATAAAAAATTTTAGCCACATATCCAAATAATATTTATGACATTTTTCTAAAATAATTTCATAAAAGTTTTTCTTAAGTATTTTTCTTATTTTGTCACTTTAAATATATACTGTTTACATTTTTTCTATTTTTGGTCCACAAATTTAAGCAAATATAAAAAAATATTTAATGAAATTTTTCGCAATAAATCCTTATAATATCATAAATATCTTTCTAAAGTAATTTTATAAAAATTTTTGTTAAATATGAAAACAAAAATTACTCTAAATTTAAAAACATTTTTAAGGAAAATACAAGTTTTTATAAATTTTCGATTAAAAAACTCTAATTTTGATATTTAGTCTCTCATTTTCTAAATTTCTTCAACACATCTTAAAACAATTTTTGTGAAATTATTTTCAATGTCATATGAAGTGTTAAACAAAATAAATTTCAATTTTTTTTCAAAAAATTCTTTTTTAATGGAAATATATTATTAATTTCTTTGTTTATATTAAAAGTAGAAAAAAATTAAACTATTATTTCATAATATTCATATTATTTGTATTAAAATCCATAATTTCTATTAAAAAGTCAAATGAAAAAAGCCGACGGCAAAATTAATTGTTATGCCGACGGGAAAATATCATGTTATGCCGTCGGTAAAATAATGCTTCAACGAAAAATAAAATACTCTTTATAAATATGTTTATTGGCCCTTAAAAGAACCGATTCAGCATTGTTTACATAAATAAGAAAAAAAAACTAAAAAATTTTTTAACCTATGGTAGTAAATTTTCATATCAAAAATTGCACTATCACTATCTCTTTTAAATTTTATTCAGTGGTCCTGAAAAGGACCGATTTTTTGTTACAATTCATCATCTCTATTTTCTTTCTTAAGCACGTTCACCACGAATACGTCTGGCCAATTGAATATCTTTCGGCATAATTGTGACACGTTTTGCATGAATGGCACACAAATTTGTATCTTCGAAAAGACCAACCAAATATGCTTCACTGGCTTCTTGCAAAGCCATAACAGCAGAACTCTGGAAACGTAAATCAGTTTTGAAATCTTGAGCAATTTCACGAACCAAACGTTGGAATGGCAATTTACGAATCAACAATTCAGTACTCTTCTGATAACGACGAATTTCACGCAAAGCTACAGTACCGGGACGATAACGATGTGGCTTCTTAACACCACCAGTGGCTGGTGCACTTTTACGTGCAGCCTTAGTAGCCAATTGTTTACGTGGTGCTTTGCCACCAGTCGATTTACGGGCAGTTTGCTTAGTACGAGCCATTTTCACTTCACTTTAGTTAGTCACTTTCTTTTTTTCTTTAACACACACTTAAACACTGTTCACACAAGAATATTTTGGCTGCGCTTCGGATACCCGGTTTATATAGAAAATTTGTCTAAGCAATAAACAAGGGTGTGTGGCCATGTATTGTACATTTGGTGGTTGATTTGTTAAACGAACAAGAACAGAAATTTAGTATAAATACCAGTGATCACCGCTAAGAAATTATTAGTTCTTGTGAATCATTTGTGAAGTGTGTTTTAAGTGAAAAAAATAAAGTAAAAAAATGACTGGTCGTGGTAAAGGTGGAAAAGGCTTGGGAAAAGGTGGTGCTAAACGTCATCGTAAAGTGTTGCGTGATAATATCCAAGGTATTACCAAGCCAGCTATTAGACGTTTGGCTCGTCGTGGTGGTGTAAAACGTATTTCTGGTTTGATTTACGAAGAAACTCGTGGTGTCTTGAAGGTCTTTTTGGAAAATGTTATCCGTGATGCTGTCACCTACACTGAACACGCCAAGAGGAAAACCGTTACCGCTATGGATGTCGTCTATGCATTGAAGAGACAAGGTCGTACTTTGTACGGTTTCGGCGGTTAAACATTCATCATATTTTTATATTTTGCGGACAATTTTTAATAGAAAACTAAAACAATCGGTCCTTTTCAGGACCACAAAATGTATTTTAAAAGAGATTTTTATTTATTACAAACTACTAAATATTATTCAAAAATATGAAAAATTATACCATATATAGTATTTGACTTTGAGATTTTTTTTATTTATTTGAGTATGATTCAAATATATTTTAAAATAATCATATTTTTTGGTTTTTTATACAATATTTGTGTAGAAAATTTCGTTTGTTTACAATTTATTTTGATAAATGAACATTTTTCACACATTTCTTTATAATTTATGCATTTCTTTACCTAAAACCTTTTAAAACAAAAATTAAATTTTGCCGACGGCAAAACGATATATTTTGCCGACGGCAAAATTAAATGTTTTTATAAGAACATTTTTTTATTTTTTTTTTTTTTCTATAAAATGTCTATTAAAAATACTTTTAAATAGAATAAAAAATAGATAATTTTTATTATTATTTTATAATCAATTTTAAGCATAAATGTTTTGACAAAGAAAATAATAAACATAAAATTTCTTAGTTTTGCTTCAGTTACGGATATAACAATAAAAAAAATAAAAAAAGAAAACAAATTTCTAAACTGTACGTAGAGAAAAGCGAAATGTGTACACGAAAACAATTCCATCATCGGCATACAAACAAAGATTCGTATTGAAATAGTAACAACAACATTGTTATTTTTTGATGTAGCTACAGTTGTTTGTGTAAAAGCAAAACAAACAAGAGTAGGGATGATTGAGATTTAAACGATTTTTGAGAATAAAAGTAATATTCATAGAATAGGAGAATTATAAAGAACTGTATTGCATGTATAATATATAACATATACATTGTATATTATTAAAGGGAAATATTAAAATAACTAAAATTTATTTGTATATATTTTTAATAAATTGTAATTTATAAAACAAAATTTTTCTCTTTTTGAAAATGAATTTGTCGTCCTGAAAAGGACGGATTGTTCTATTTTTTGTTATACGATGGTCTGTATTATATTTTCTCGATGTTATTTCTTTAGTCTTGATTAATTTAGGCTTTCTTTTCTGTTTTCTTGGGCAAAAGTACAGCTTGAATGTTTGGCAAAACACCACCTTGAGCAATCGTTACACCAGATAATAATTTGTTCAGTTCTTCGTCATTACGAATAGCCAATTGCAAATGACGGGGAATAATTCTGGTCTTTTTGTTGTCACGAGCAGCATTACCAGCCAATTCAAGAACTTCAGCAGCCAAATATTCCATAACGGCAGCTAAATATACTGGAGCACCGGCACCAACACGTTCAGCATAATTGCCTTTACGTAACAAACGATGTATACGACCGACGGGAAATTGCAAACCAGCACGATTTGAACGAGACTTTGCCTTGCTCTTAACTTTTCCACCTTTACCACGACCAGACATTTTTCACTTTATTATTTTTAGTTAACACTTCACTTTAGCACTGAATACACAAAACTAATATCATTTCAACATTTCATTTCATTTCATTTCATTTCATTTTTATTGATCCCATTTCAATTCTTTACAATATATTCAGTATTAACTAAAACATTTTTCAATATTTCTTACATACTACATGTATCAGTAAAGAACTTTCAAATAATATCATAAAATAGCTTAGCTATATCCATCTTTTCAAACAATTCTATTCACTCTCATATATTTCCCCAAAAAAAAGGGATTAAAAGGGGACACATTTGATGCTTAAAACTATTACAACAAGAACTTAAAACTAAAACACTAAAACTACATAATAAAAAACTAGAGATAGAAGAAATATTTACAAAAGATTTAAAAGGAATATATACAAAAGGTAAGGGTAGGGGTTTATTGTACGGTATTATATACTGTGTCATCGACATTCAGGGTGTGAATTCTCCTATGATAAAATAGGAGGTCTGCACCTTCATAGAGGAGACCGGCTCCCCTCAGGGTCAACAAATCCACAGGGGAAAGATACCTAGACATCCGGACGGTCTCCAGACTAGACATCCTATCAAAGCATGCTCTTACGAGCCCATTGTCCAAGAACCTAGATTTCCCCAAAAATTTCAAAGCCATACCTATCATAAAGGAGTCTATTCTCTCGAATTCAATTGCCCTGTATATAGAGGCACATGACGGCCTACGCAACACCCCATCAGGTCCCAGTCGAGGTCTCATTCCGAGACATCCGACAAGCACACCACGCTCCCACTTCCTAAGTCTTTCCATCTGGCATGAGGAAATTCCAAACCAGGCTGGAAAGGCATAGGAAATGAGAGGACGGATGATCTGCCTGTACAGCAAGAGCCGCAGCTTTCTATCAAGGCCACCATTGCGCCTTAGTATCCTCTGATAGGCAGAGTATATCCTCTTCGCTTTCTCCAGAGAATGATCAATATGTCTATAATATTCAAAATTCTCATGAAAGACAACGCCCAGGTATCTCATTCTATCAGAGGTACTAATCAGTTGTCCGCCTATTCTCACACATGGCACGTATGATCTGCAATTTCGATAAATGTGCTTTCGCCTCCCCTTTATCATAACTGTTATAGTCTTGTTCAAATTCAGGTT